CTAACTCCTCCTCCTCTGAGGCGAGTGCTTAGCAGGGCAGTATGAGGTTTGTGGGTAGTCTATCGCTGAAGTTAAACACCAGCACTCAAAACATGAAGCCCTCAAAGACCGAACACTGCCCCAACAGACAATATTTTTTTCTTTGAATTATAATATCAGATATAAGGAGGAAATGTTTGTGAAGACAGCAAGGCCTAGTAGCAGTGGGAAAGCCACAAATAAAGACAAGACATCAAAACTGCTCTCGTGGAATCCTGACCCCAGGTTAAAATTATGTGCTAGGAGCAACACAAAAATGTGCTTCTTTGCAAGCCAAGTAGCAAGAGTTACACCAGTGCAGACCAATTTTCTAATCTTTTACCCACTGCGGCAAGTAAAAGTCCCATTCACTAGGTGGTGCTCTCCACCACATCGTTCCTCCAAGTAGTACAGTATGTCAAAATGACAACAGCCTGGTTTTAAGATGATTTGTCTCTTGAGGATATACATTTGGTTTAAGTTTCTACTGCAAAGTTAAAGTTCTTAAGATAGGTCATGCAGATCAATTGCTCCTGTAATCTGAAACTCAAAAGGGCAGGGGTGGCCTGAGCTTACAAGGATATCTAAAATCCAGGAGATAGTCTGCCTGGCTACCTCTAATCTCACCATCAAAACTGTTACCTTGTTCAGTTTCTGCTTTGCATCAGCAAGAGAACAGCAAAAGCAACTGAGAGTGGTACAAAGGGAGGACAGACCTTCCACTTGTACACTGCTTGATAGATGCCAATAATTTACACTCAACAGAGCATACAGCTTTGATAACATTCAAAACCAGAAGCAGAAGAATTCTGTTCCATTCAAACTTATTTCTTTTCTCTTTTAGTAAGAACAAAAGCAAAAGAATGAATGTTCATTTTATCATGAAGCTCTAAGAAAAGCATTTGGTAACAAAATATACAACCTTCCCTCCAAAGTCATCTGTCAACTAAGTGAATGGCAATAAAGTGCAGAGGATGATCGCCTCGACCAACGACAACTCTTCTGATTCCCGCAAAATCCACCATTCCCAGTCTGCAAAAAAAAGAGGAGTTATATGTTATAGAATAGACACACACACACACACACACACACACACACACACACACATATGAATGATCGACAAGATTCCTTTCTCTCATTATAGTCTCCTATGGAATAAATAAGGCATGTAACTTTAAGTACTTCAGTACCCTCCTACACAAATGCAGAAAATGTTATTCCAAGGAATAAGTTACAAAACATTCTAACATCCTCTTTGCTTAAAAAAAGAACATATAAAACTCAGTGGATTCTAGAATTTAAAGAAGTTGGAGAAAATTACTAACAACTATACTTCAAAAAATAAGAGCTTGTCTGATAAAAAATTGTAGCTTATATGTTCAAAATAGCATATATATTAATTAATAACTAATAAAATACTTGCTAGGAAAAAATATTGATAAAAACCACTAGAAAAACAATTGTTAGGTCCTGAGTAGTATATTATAGACCTTAAATTTGAGAATCAAAT